CCTGCTACACTGCCAAAATGGTTCAAGAATGGTTTGAGGAACAAAATGAGTTTGAGGTGTTAACTTAGCCTCCAAATTCTCCAGATTTCAAACCTATTGAGCATCTGTGGGATGTGCTAGAAAAAAAACCAAAAAAAAAAAAAAAAAAAAAGACCAGTTCATGGAGGCCCCACCTCAAAATTTATAAAATTTAAAGGACCTGCACCTTCAGCGGTCTAGTGGAGTCTATGCCTTAAAGCGTTATGGTGGGTGGTCATAATGTTATGGCTGATCAGTGTATAAAAGGAACAAAAACACACATGCAGCCATCAAAATTAGTCTTTACTATTGCATATGTTTAAACTGGCTTTACTTTGGTAAATTAAATTATTATATCACCCCTCTCTCCCTTTACATATTTAGCTATGTCAGATATGTAATTTTTGCAATGAAAATTGTATTTTACAATCTGTCCACTAGATGGCAATAGTGTACCATGATGATAGTTTGGCTAGCTAGGCTAAAAGAGTAATATTTTTATATTTGATGCCCTGACACTAGAACTGCCTAAAGTGACAAACAATATCCTTATTCTCCAAAAATTATCTATGCACAGCCACTACTTAAAGCTGAGTTACACTCAACCTATCAAAAGATAAAAGTCAGCAGCTACAAAAACTGTAGCTGCTGACTTTTAGAAAACAGCCACTTACCTGTCCCTCGGTCCCTCCATTTGAGATGAAAGTAAACTTGGGAGTTCAGCTTTAAGCTTGGATTACATTTTAGCTAAATAGTGTCATCCTGATCAGATTCCTCAGAATGTGTGAAAAACCCTCATTTCCCTTCATAGGCAGCATGTCTGCCGATTAGTAAAAAGGAAGGTTTCAGGCTGGCTCCTTTTGCAGATATAACTATGTAAAACATTAAAAATAAGTGCCTATACCGTTTCAAATCCAGTAATGCACCTAATAGATAATAAACTCGCCCTGCTTTACACATGCTCAGCTGCAATTTTCAACACTGTGCGGTAAATGTAGAGGCTGATCTGCTGCCAGCCTAAAGATTTACTATTGCTCAGGGGCTCTGGGCTTCAGTAAAATGGCAGCCTCCAGCAAGAACAAACAGGAGCAATGCTGGAGGCAATTTACAGCACACTAATTTTCGTAGCATAGTTAATAGTTATTAATGTATATTCCTTGCTAAATAACTCTTACAATATGGGTATAGTTCCGCTTTAATAAAAATAGTGTTTTTTGTTCTTAAACTTTTTAAATTATTGAGGCTAGCTGGGGGGAGGAAAATAAAAGGGAACAAGGTTTGCTTTTCTTAGAGGAGAGAGATGTCCATCACATCAGAACATTAGCAAAAAAAACTGAGGCTAGCTAAGAGAGGGAGGGTTTATACAAAGGGCTCACCTTACAAATTTATCAGTGTCCAATCATCTGAAGGTAACAGCATAACAAAATTCGAATGCTAACCATACACTAGCCGCAAAATCTAACTAGTTTCTGAATTATGAACATTCAGTCGTGACAGCAAAATGATAGCGCCATCGTGTATTGGCCAAATTTTGATTGATAAATCATTCAATGGACATAAATGAATCAGTTTTTTGTACGTTTTGTCACATATGTGCAGTACAAACAGTTCAATTTTTACCGGCCAGGAAAAACATTAACCTTTAAATTTATCATTCAGCAGTAGTCTTCCAACCTGTTTCTTAGAAGATTTTTAACTTTGGGCTTTTTTTTTTCCTCTAATCGACTTGTGCCTAATAATCGGATGAAAAATTAACAAACGGTCCAAATGATGAATTTTCAAACTAGTGTATGGGGGACCATAAGACTAAGATCCTGTCGCTTGTAATGTGCAACTGGACTTGCTGATCAAAACAGCTGTGAATTCTTCAGATTTCAAAATCTATACATCTCTAAATACTGCCAAATAGGTCTTTGACATTTACCATTATACAGCAAATGTAAATGGTTACAGAAAGTTAACCCTTCAATATTCACATACAGCTAAGCTGCATCAGCATGGCAGCACAGTTTATTACTATATATGCAACATGACATTGTAATTTTACCACGCTGGCCACATTTAACTACTTTCAATTTAGTATGGGCAGGCAGCCCGCACAGGCAAAGCGATGCTCTGGTACATTGCTGCCGGTTTCCAGGTTTATGACACAAGCACGTGATCGCAGACACCCACTGTGATTGGCCCTGACTTGCTGAGATCCCTGCTGTGTACAATGATTCATGGCTGGGACCTGCTGATCAGCTGTGTCCAAAGCAGAGTCCAGAGCCTGTGTTGACAATCAACAGAGCTCTATGCAGAGGGAACGATCTCCATTTCTTAACCACTTGACGAACAGGGTATAGCTAAATGATAGCTACAGCGCAGTTGTCTAGTTCTGGGGGGGTGTCACAACGTCCTCCAGAACCACACTACCCACATGACCCCTGGGATGCACACCTGGCAAACTGATCTTTGTGTCCATTGGACACAGCTAATCACATGACATGGTAAAGGGGCAATCAGAGAGTGCCTTTACCACGTGATCAGCTGTATTCAATGACACAGGTGATCACAATGTGAATACAGTTGATGGCTATCGACTGCACTTTCCTCATGCTTACCAGTAATTGGCAAATACATTTATAAAAAAAAAAAAAAAAATCAGAAGCAGTCCAGTGCAGCCCCCTGCCCCAACAGTGTCCGCCGGTGCCCCATAATTGTGCAGCTTCATCAGTGCCTCCGCCTCAGTGTCCATCAGTGCCACCTCATCAGTACCCATCAGTGCAGCCTTTCAATGCACATCAGTGAAGGTGAAAAATTACCTGTATGTAAAATTTTATAACTGAAAATACCAATTTTTTTTTGTTAGTTTCTCGTGTTTAGCAAAAAAAAAAAAAAAAAAAAAAAAAAACAAAAAAAACAAAAACAGCAATAGTCAAAAGTGCAATAAAAAAAGCAGAAGATTGGCCTGGGCAGGAAGAGGGCGAAAGTGCCCGCAAGTGGTTAAGAAACAAGTGATCGGTTAGTAAAAGCAACACATAGTTAGGCACACATTTAACCCCTTGATCACCATAGAGGTTAACCCGCTCCCAGCCAGTGTCATTACTAATACAGTGATCAGTAAAAATACTATACACTGTCACTGTGCTGTCACTTGTGAAGTTGCAGTCAGTTCTACCCCCAGCGTCAATTAGTTTCTGATTGGCTGCTGCACTAATCGCAGTCCCATTATAAAAGTCACTGATCATCATTGGTAGTTCAAGAAAAAAAAAAAAAAAAATAGCCAATATATACACCATAGTATGTAGACAATACACACATTGGGATTTTTTTTTCCCCCACCAAAAGACATTATCAGAATACATTTAGGCCCAAATTTATGAAGAAATGTTATTTAAATTGTATTCTTATTTACAGAAAGTATAAAAAAAAAAAAAAAAAGTTATTTTTCACCATATTTGGTCTTCTCTAGTTTGATCACCACAGGAAGTTTTTGTGATATAAAGCTTTTTTTGAGAGATGATAGATTTTATTTGGTACTTTATTCAGTAACTGCGCGGTCATCATGCAACACTCCAGCGTATCCACAGTGCTACATAGCAAAACTTGGCCTGGTCAAAAGGGGTTAAAAACTTCTGGAACTGGAGGGGATATTTTATACTTGCCTAATTGCCATTGGGTCAAGGCTTCTATACACTGTCTTTTGTAAAGTAGGACAAACCAAAACAAGATATTTATAAAAGAAAAACAATTCATTCAGTGGATAATGCTTCCTGCTCAGTGCTTTATTTTTTTTTAATTTATTTTATTTTGTTTTTTTACACATTTCCCACCCATTCACAAGAGGTTGTTGAGAAAAATATGCACTTTACAATACTTTTCAACTGGATTTATATTACTTTTACAGGTTTAAAAATCCATTTGTCATGAAATAAAAAAGGGCACACCAATGCAATAATTCATTTTCTTACTTTTTACATTTGTACAAAGTAGCAAAAAAAAAAAAAAAAATAATCATAGATCACAACACCAGTCCATATGGCAAATCTAAATATTTTACAGGTTTGTGCCCACAAAAACATTTGATATTCTGTAATGGGGTCAGTAGCATAAAATTCAGATCTTATTTAGGGAAACCATCATCCACAAAAGATCAATGTATATAATCTTGACATCAGATATTTGATTTATTTCCTATGCAAAACAGGTGTAGCCTACTTATCTGCCTAAATAGGCCACAAAGGGGTTTACTGCAATGTCTAAATATGGGATTATAAACAGGACATCTGTGCATAGCAAAAAGTCAAATTCCATCAAAAATGAAATTTTAAATTGTGAAAAGCTCAACAATTATGGACTTGTGAATGCTTTGCAGATTCTTCCATTAACAGAATTTGAATTAAGGCACTCTGGCCCTTAAATGCATTTGTGCAACAAACTGGATTGAACAAAAGTTGAGTGGAAATTGTGACGTTCCCTTTTTTTTTCCAGTGTTCTGATACAAAATATTACAGTGATCTTACTTTATATATTTACAAAGATTTGCAAAAAAGTACAAAATGATAAATTACACATCAGGCTTGGCAAACAGGATGTTCAAAAGAGTACAATACACATGCCCAATTTAATTGATGTCCTTTTAGTTCTAGCTGTACTCATAGTAGTCGTATAGATAATGTAAAAACTCGCGCTAAAATCAAACCATTTACTGGTGAATTCAGGATGCAAGTCATCATTAAAAGTGTAGCATATCTGACAATAACACATTTAAGTGGTATTTGGTTCATGGCAGTTGAAACTTAAAAAAAAAAAAAAAAAAAAAAGTATGGCTTTGTGGTCTGTTCTCTGGAAAGACTATTGCTGTGAATTTTCACTGACCAAACAACCAAGCCATTAGATGAACACAAGAGGAGAGAGTTACTTTTCAGTCATATGAACAGTCTCTATGCCAAGCCTAATACAGTACAAAAATGGGATTTACTGAAATGGTGTCGAGACTATTAATAGCTGTCTACCCATTCAGCGAAGCCTCTTTCCACAAGCGTCCTGTTAACTGACACCATCTGTACAAAAAACAAAAACATAAGGTTTCCAAGTTAATCAATTATCAGCACAATACAAAAACGGTCAATATGTTTGTGAAATCATTTGAGTAACTTCCATCTAGGAGCCAAACCTCCCTCAAGTCAAAAGCAGAAGCACAATTCATTAATATTTTTTAAGTAATGCCCTTTGTGATGCTGGCTTGTTTTAGTTAGAAATCTTCACCTCTTTCAACTACGCCCCATTACCCCTACAACCTTAACCTCTCAGTACTGAGGGGATTAATAGAGTCAAGGAACCTGTTGCTCAGTGTTATTAAACCCAAATATAAGCAGTCAATACATGCACATTACACAGTGTTCATGCTCTTTACCACTAGAGCATTCATTTTCTGTAGGCTACAAAAAACCTAGTTAATCCTGCCGTTTACTATCCTTCCTCCTTGCCCGTTTCCCCGCTGCAGCATGAAATTTTGTAGACCAGCCATTGCCACATCTAATGCGATGCTCCAGTTCCCTTCTAAGCTGTTCATTTCCTCTTATCTGTGCTGCTCATGCGACTATAGAGAGACACAGTGGTAAAAGACAGTTCACTCACTCCCTTCTCCTTCATGCCCTTGTATTGCTAAACACTATAAGGGTGGGATCAGGGGCAGACTGACCATTTGGAAACTCGAGCACTGCCCAAGGGCCCTGGGGTCAGTAGGGGGCCCCAGGAGATGCCCCTGGTACCTTTTTCATAGTTTTTTTGAGTTTGGGCAAGGACACAGGGGCCCCATGATCCCCTATTGCCGGGGGCCCCATGAGTTGTCAGTCCGCCCCTGGGTGGGATACAAGGATTGATGAAAGCTTCACCTCCCTGCCAGCCCAAGAACATAAACACCATTGGCAAAGGCTGGAGGGGAGTGAGCCTATGATTGGCAGAACCTCCTCCAGATATCTTTACAGTGTAAACAAACTCCTCCTACACCATGTTATTACAAATAAAAAATTGCTTTGAAATAGATTTGTAATCGACACTGTGGAGACACAGATTTATAGTCCACACATCCTCTGCTGCTATACAGCATACATCAGCACAGTACTAGAAACTCCTACCTCAGATCTTTCCATGGAAATGAGAAAGACCTGGGAAATATGTAATCGCTGAATAGCAATGACTGATTACGGTACCCAGATGCTCATTTTTTTTTAAATTAATTTTATAGTTTGTTTTTTTATCAAACAGAGCTCTCTTATGGTGGTAATAGATCACAAAAATCACCCTAAAATGTTGAAATTGTTTTTTCTACTTTGTTATAAAACATATCCAATAAAAATGACTAAGAAAATAAAGTTTCTTCATAAAACGTAGGCCACAAATGTATTCCACTACACATCTTTAGTTTGATTAAAAAAAAAAAATACCAATACGTGTATATTAATTGGTTTGTGCGAAAATTATACAGTCTACAAACTATGGTGTATATATACAGTGGCATTTATCCAACTATAATGCTATACAGTAAAATGGCAGTGATCAGCAACCTATAGTGAGACTGATAGTGTGGCAGGCAATCTGGCACTAGCACTGGCTAGGAGGTACATGGACATCAAAAAAGGTGACACTAATACAGTGATCACTGCTAAAAATGCACACTGTCACTGTACTAACACTGGATGGGAAGGGTTGACATAACAGGGAAAAGGGTTATCTGTGCTTAACAAGTGTAGTGTGTGTGATGGTGCTGCTTTTACCAAGATCTGGCTGTTTTTTCTTCTCAGGGAGAAGAAACAGCCAAATTGCTGCTCTTTGTACAAAGCCCTATGTTGTGTGTAAATACAGGGCTCTGAGCTATGATTGGACACAGCCAATCAGCAGGTCTCTGCCATAAATCATTGGCTGAGACCTGACAAAATTCTGCTGTCGAAATATGCATGCCCAAAACCTGCAAGCAGGCTCACAACATTTATTTAGGTTGCTAAACCTGCAGCTGTCGCCCAGTCACAGGGATTAGACGAAGTCTCTCCGCAGTGAAAAACACATGAAAGCCCACTTGGAGCACCTGAAAATACTTTCAGACTGAGGAACAAGATTCTCTGGTCTGATGAAACCAAGAATGAACAGTTTGGTTTCCTACAGACCTAACTTGTAGAAATGAGGCCAGTCACCACTCATTACCTGCCAATACCATCCCAACAGTGAAGCATGGTGGTAGCAGCATGCTGTGTGGGTGTTCAGCAGCAGGGATTAGGAGACTGTACTTTACTCCATTCAGCTTTCCCTCAACCGTGACCAGAGATATCCTTCACAAAACCTGTTCCACAGCGCTCAGAACCTCAGACTGGGCAGACTGTCCACCTTCCAACAGGACAATGATCCTAAGCACACAGACAAGACAACACAGGAGTGGCTTAAAGACAACTCTGAAAATGTCCTAGATTGGCCAGGACAGAGCCCTGACTTGAACCCTATTGAACATCTCTGGAGATCTGAAAATAGCTCTCTGAAGGTCCCCATCCAAGCTTTAGAGGATTTGCAAAGAATGGCAAAAAATCCCCCAATCCAGGTGTGCAAGCTTGTTGCAACATACCCAAAAAAAAAAAAACCGCAAGGCTGTAATTGCTGCCAAAAGGTGCTTCAAAATACTAAGCACATTTTCTGAATACTTAAAAGGAATTTTTAAGTATCCTCTTTTTAATAAATTCACATACATTTCAAATTCTGTTTTCACTTTGTTATTATGGGGTACGGAGTGGGATTAATGAGAAAAAAAAAATGGATGCAACATAACAAAATTTAAAAAAGTGAAGCAGGTCTGAAAATGTAAGAACGCACTGTAGGTATCATGGATCCAAGAACTAAGAAGAGTATCTGGTTTTATCTGGAGACTAGGATGCCCATATGCAGTCTCCTATTTTTTTTTATATTAACTGGTTCTTGTCATTCAGGGGTGCCTATTTCCTTTGGTCCAGATGGTGGTGGCTGAAATAATCCACCTGCCAACTAACATCTGGGACAAGGACTGGAGAAAAAAAAAAATATATATATATATTTTTTTTTTTCCATGACAGGACAGCAAGATTCTGTCCATGAAAGAAAATGGATTTGTGCCATTCAAAGCAGCTAAGCTCCTCCTGATGATTGGCATATGCCACTGTGGTGGCATTGTCTGATTGCACCCCCCTGTTGCTGGGGAGATTTCTTCCCTTGACCATGTTCCTTAGACCATCACGGATTGGGAGACTGTTCCCCAGGCTGACTAACCTATAGCCCGTTTTAAGAATCTTCCAGTTGACATTAGCCTTAAAGAAGGAGCTTTCTTTTGGAAGAAAGATCTTCTCTTGAGATGCATCTAGAACTCAATCCAGATACATTTAGTTAGAAGGGTGCTAAAGAAACCTTTGAAGCCGACAAGTCTTTAGGATAATCCCTGCAAGATGCAATATTATGCATTCAGGCATAGGTTGTCCAGATAGTCTGTCCCCTGAGCTATGAGTCAGGAAGAATGTCAGGAGTATTGTGAATGGACAGAATTTACTAAATGAGTTTAAGCCCAGGAGAGGACCGATACCTCAGTTGGGCTTCAGTACCATGGACAGGTTTTAGTAGAACCACTTGGGGCAGTACTGACAGAATGGTTTCTAAATCTACTAATCCTAAAGCTCAGTTTACAGAACTCTACTATATGGCTGTTTTTTGCTATGCTGTTCCCAGTACGCAAAGTAAAAGATATTACACACATTGGTAGGCACACAATTAACTCCTTGATTGCGGTAACCCCTTCTCAGCGAGTCATTAGTACAGTGAAACTGTACAGTATTAGCACCGATCACTGTTTTAGTGTCACTACGGATGTCAGTGTACCTCCCAGCCAGCATCAGATTTCCCAACATGCTACCACAGTCCCACTACAGTGAAGGAAATAAGTATTTGATCCCCTGCTGATTTTGAATGTTTGCCCACTGACAAAGAAATGATCAGTCTAAAAATCGAATGGTAGGTGTACTGTAACACAGACACGCATTTCTTTTGAAATTTTTTTTTACTCTTCTGTCTCTAACAAATTATGCACTGATTTGCATGTTCATGAGGGAAATAAGTATTTGATCCCCTATCATTCAACAGGATTTCTGGCTACCAGGTGTCTTTCATACAAGTAACAAGCTGAGATTAGAAGAAGTCTCTTAAAAAGGGAGTGCTGCTAATCTTATTGTTACCTGTATAAAAGACACCTGTCTACAGGAGCAATCAGATTCCAAACTCTCCACCATGGCAAAGACCAAAGAGCTGTCCAAGGATGTCGGGGACAAGATTGTAGACCTACACAAGGCTGGACTGGGCTACCAAACTATCGCCAAGCAGCTTGGTGAGAAGGTGACAACAGTTAGTGCAATAATTCGCAAATGTAAAACACAAAACAACTGTCAGTCTACCTAGGTCTGGTGCACCATGCAAGATCTCACCTTGTGGAGTGTCGATCATGAGAACAGTGAGGAATAATCCCAGAACTACACGTGAGGATCTTGTCAATGATCTCCAGGCAGCTGGGACAACAGTCACCAAGAAAACAATTGATAACACTACGCCGACAAGGGTTGAAATCCTGCAGTGCCCGCAAGGTCCCTCTGCTCAAGAAAGCACATGTCCAGGCCTGTCTGAAGTTTTCCACTGAACATCTGAATGATGCAGAGGACTGGTTGAAAGGGTTGTGGTCAGGTGAGACAAAATTGAGCTGTTAGGCAGCATTCCTCCTCCAAACACGAGTTGAGTTGATGCCAAGAACACCATCCCAACTGTCAAACATGGTGGTGGAAACATTCTGCTTTGGGGCGTTTTTCTGCAAAGGGGACAAGACAACTGCACCGCAATAAAAGGGACAATGTACCGTAAAATCTTGGGTGAGAACTTTCTTCTCTCAGCCAGGGCATTGAAAATGGGCCGTGGGTGGGTGTTTTAGCATGATACTGACCCAAAACACATGGCCAAGGCTACAAAGGAGTGGCTCAAGAAGTAGTACATTAAGGTCCTGGAGTGTCCTAGCCAGTCTCCAAACCTTAATCCGATTGAAAATCTGTGGAGGGAGCTGAAAGTTCAAGTTTCCAAATGTCAGCCATCAAACCTTAATGACTTGGAGAGGATCTGCCACAAGGAGTGGGCCTAAATCCCTCCTGAGATATGTGCAAACCTGGTAGCCAACTACAGAAAACGTCTGACCTTTCATGTTTTGTGAAGGGGATCAAATACTTATTTCCCTCATCAACATGCAAATCAGTGCAAAATTTATTAGACATGCATTTCTATTGAATTCTTTGTTGCTATTCTGTCTGTGTTACAATACACCTACCATTCGATTTTTAGACTGATCGTTTGTGAGTGGGCAAACATTCAAATTCAGCAGGGGATCAAATACTTTTCCTTCACTGTACAATTCGCCGATCACTACCATTACCAGTATATATGCGCAGTACAGCTGCATAAATTCCAGTATATATATACACACACACACACACACACACACACCATAGTTTATAACTTTCGCACAGGCCAACACACGTATTGAGTATTTTGTTTTTTTTAAACCAGAGACATGTAGCAGAATACATGTTGGCCTAAATTTATTTGATAAAACCTATCCAATAAATAAAATCAAAGCAAATAAAAATGGGTTTTTCTCAAATGTTTTGGTTGTTTTTAGTTTAAATAAAAAAAACTCAGTTATGACCAAATACCACCAAAAGAAATATCTATTGGTGTGAAAACAAATTTATCAATTTCATTTGAGTACAGTGTTGCATGATCGTGCAATTGCCGGTTAATAGCAAAAAAGTGCTCTGGTCATGAAGGGGTGAAACCTTCCAGAGGTCAAGTGGTTAAACTCTCAACTGGATAGAGTTCGGCAAAGATTTTAGGTAACAAACATTCTGCATAGCCAGCCCATGCTATCCATCCATGAAAAAGGAATATTCTACATGGCTTAGTAGTTATCTTTGTGCCAAAAGGGGCGTGGCAAGAGAGAAGATTCTACCTGTACAATACCAAGGCTTTCTGCAGACAGAAGCACTAAGCTTTTCAAGATTTGCAAGCATATTACAGAACTACCTCTTTAATATGACAGTGTGGGGAAGAGAAATCTTCTGCAGCTTCCTCCAGCACTGCTTCAATGTCCTCTTCATTGTTACCCAATTCTGTGTCATCTGGAAGCAGCATATCAGGGTCTGACGTTTTTGAGCTCTGGACAGATGGCAGAATTAAGGCTGTAATCTGTCCAAGAAATTGTGACAGATGCAGAAAATTCTGCTATAGTCAAATAGGCTACATGTTGCATAGCTGGAATACATCAAGAATATTGTGCTGTTACTGGCGTGAAGACCAGTTCCTGCTACATTGCAAGGGACATCTTCATCCTGAGGCTGCAAGGGACTTTGACAATGTGAATTTTGGCCTGCTGTTTAGCTACAAGTGAAGTGTCCCCCTGTGGGCACTAATTGAATACAGAGTGGAAGAAACAGTAAGCGTGTCTGGTTGGTGTATGCAGTAACCCAGGTGTAGACCGTCCTGCAATAAATACTTGTGTGAAAAGGCATGAGGAAGTGCCAGAGTACCGCATAAGGGCTTTAGGCAGAAGTTGTGTCAGTGTGACCGGTGATCATCCACCTGAGACTGAGCTCTGACTACATGAATTGTAGCCCCATATTTGAAATGTATTCACGCCATAGTGTAAACTTTTCAAACATAGCCCCTTTTTAAACAGTAATGGTCAAGAGTACAGGAAGATTCGTCTATACACAGTCCAGCTTAATGAACTGGTAAAAGTCCAAATTTAGGGCACTTAGAGGGAAAAAAAAAAAAAATTGATGGTTGTGGGGGCACCATTAAGGGTCTAACCCCCACAAAGTACATATTACTGCCCCTAGGTTTAAAAAGCAGACCTCTTTTTGAATACCTGTACCCCTGCTAATGAACTACACAGGTTTTACATGGATACTTTTTTTTTTTTTTTTTTTTTTAAACCAAGGAACACAAAAAACACAAACTTTTCCTGACAGAAAACTTCTCTCAAAAATACCAACCAGAAGGGTTTTCTTTTCTACCTCTACCCACTAATCTTAAAGTGTTACTAAACCCACAACAGTAAAATCAGTCTGTATATGCAGTGAAGCATGCTTGTTCTACTCACTGTGGAACCTACGGGGTTAATTCTCCGAATTGTGTAAAAAGGCTGTTTGATCCTCTCTCTGCCCCTCCTCTTGTTGAAATGACCACCTGATACAGACTGAACCCGTGGTCATATGCACATGCTCAATTTTGTGTGTATTGCTAGAGGCTTTTTTTTTTTCTTGCGAGGGTGCAGGTGATAAGCACATGGCCAATCAGCACTGTCCAGAGGGTAAGAGGTTTCACATCCTCCCAGTGCAGGAAAAAGACTCCTCCTACAAGCTTTAACCAGTGCTTTGCTGAAGTCACAAGAATGCTATATACTGCGGATGAGAAAAGGTATTTAGCAGTTTATATTTACTAAAATAATTGCATTTCCATGTTTTTGTGTACTGTGGGAAACTAGATATAGTGAATGCAGGGTCTGGGGTCTAGTAACACTATAAAATAACCGAAGGCCTTATGCACACTAGGAGTTTGCCCAGCTCTTCTGAACGCCTTTTCTCTTGGCAGGAGAAAAGCAGCAACTAAAGCCACATTTCGCAAACGTGTAGGCACGTCAAACGTTTGGGCATTCATTCATTGCGTTGGCAAGCATATTAAAATTTATTCTGGCCACTGAAATGAACGCTCAAGCACTAAAAACGCGTCAAGCTTTTTTTTTTTGCCGAGAGACTCCTGTACTGAATGCATAATTTTCTCAGCCCCTAAACACTCCTCTTCCAATAGGCCTGTAAATGCCTACAGAAGGGCGTTCGTACACCCAATGTGCATGAGACCGAAGAAAAAAAAACTCACTTTGGTAAAAGGCCATTGTGTGTTTGTATTCACAGCCCCCCCCCCCCCCCCATTACCAGAATGCCTCCGTTTTACTGAGATATTAAGCACACGAGGGCAGGACCTGTGTTTCAATGAATTCTAAGAAAATAACATTTTCTAGCAGGTAGAGGAATCCTATTTTCGTTCCTTGTCAATTGAGGGAAGCAGGAAGCCTTTAACCCTTGGCATGTTTAAAAAGCAGTTAAACTGAGGGATACCAAAGGGGGATACCAAAGATCCAGGTTCTAAATTGGGATCATCTGGAGTGAAGATTAAGGCAGCTACGGTTGCTTTTTCAAAAAATATACAAAAGAATTCTTCCCCTAGAAAGAACATGGATGAGAATCCAACTTCTAACTATGGGGTGCCCACATACAATAGATTTGGACCTCTAATGGGATCCCCATATAATCATCAATATGAGGGAAATTACCAAAATTATCAGGACCCCAAACTATCAGGACCCCTATTGGGAAGGAAGAAATACAGGGATGTAGAGGAGGTAAAAGGAAAAAGGAAAAGGTCAATGTAAATAAAGGAATTTTCAACTTAAGTGATTACATTTTAAAAGAGGAGGAATTGAGGGTCTTAGCATTGGGTCTGAAATATGCACCCGACAAAAAATTAAATAAATTGGAGACTTACATAGATCTTCATAGATTTATCAGAAAATTAAATTTAAAAAAATATTGGAGTAAAAACTCCAAATCTAATGCTATTGATCCTCATAAGGGTGGGAGAATGAGCAATGATGGGAATGAAGGGGTTTATAAGCACACCAATTTGAGGAATAAGTCTGTGTTCAACCCAAAAGTAGGAAATAATTGTTGTATAGATACATTCAAAAAGATGTGGAATATGATTTGGAGGTATTATCGGTTCCAAATAAGAGGATGAAGCATGATTTAATTAGAGGAATTCAACAATTAGAAAAAAATAATAACATTGTAATAAGATCAGCAGACAAAGGAGGAGGGTTGGTGGTGTTGAATAGGAATGATTATTATGAAGAACTGAATAGATATGGTGGGTGATGAAAATACATATGAGAAATTGAAGGGGCAACCCTCTAAAAAGTTACAAGAACAAATTAATGAAACTAGTGAAAAGAGGTGAAAGAGAAGGTTTTTAAAACAAAAAAGAAGCGAGATATTTGGTACCAAAAGCACCTGTTACACCTGTTATATACCAACTACCCAAGATACATAAAAGTTTATTAAAACCCCCTGGAAGACCCATTGTTTAATGGGATTGACTCACTTTTTTCAAGACTAGGGGAATATGTGGATGAATTCCTACAACCTCTGGTATCAGGTTTTCCATCTTACCTTAAGGATAGTGGAGATTTGATCTCAGTTTTGAAAAAAATAAGGATTAAAAAGAGAACTGTGTTTTGGCCAGTGTTGATGTGAATGCACTATACACCAACATTAGACATGAGGATGCTTTAACAGCGGTGAGATGGGCATTGGAGAAAAAAATCGGGTTTAAAAGGTGATCAAATTGATTTTTTGCTAGATTTGTCTTGACCTAGCAATGTCCAAATAACTATTTTTGGCATTCCCAACAATTATTATAGGCAGTGCACTGGAGTCGCGATGGGAGCGAAAATATGCTCCATCAGTAGCCAACCTTTTTATGAGTATGTGGAAGATAAAGCTATATTTGGAAAGATGAATGAGAAATTACTACTCTTTAGAAGGTTTATAGATGACATCGTGATAATTTGGAAGGGAACCAGGAATGGTTTAGAGGAGTACATCCGTGGAAAATGGAGTGTAATCCTTATAACATCACATTCACTAACCATATCGGTATGGGAATCTATAGACTTTCTTGATTTAGTCATCTATAGACAGGGGGACTATCTTCACACAAAAACTATTTTAAACAAGTGGATAGGAATGCTTACATCCCAATCCACAGTTTGCCACCATAGAAATTGGTTGAGGTCCATTCCTAAAAGCCAATTGATTAGACTCAAGCGGAACTGTGATGACAATAAGATATTTCAAGAGCAAGCAAATATGTTGTTGGAAAGGTTTAGAGAAAAAGGCTATGAAGAAAATATTCTAACAGGTGCAATGGATCAAGTGAGGAGGATTAATAGAGATGAATTATTAATAAATAGAAAGAACAAGAAGAAAGTAGGTGAACTGGCTTTTATCACGGGTTACTCTAATCAACATAAGGTTATTGAAAATATTATAAGAAAACATGGTCGATACTGAAGAGGGATGATGTTCTCCATGATTTAATACCTGAGAAAACCTTCATTCATTTACAGAAAACCACCCACATTGAGAATGAAGTTAGCAAAAAATATCCCAGATATTCCGAAGAAAAAGGCAACTCTTTTTTGGATACTGTGGGGTTTTATAAATGTAAAAGGTGTATGGCATGTAGAAATATGAGAGGAGATACTAAGAGGAGATATGATTTGTTTCATTCTTGTTCTACTCAAAACGGGTTCCTCTTATAAAATAAATAATTTTATAACTTGTGACAGTTCCTTTGGTTACGTATGTGTTGGAGTGCTCTTGTCATCTGCAATACGTAGGTAGAACGTCTAGGAAATTGTCGGTGAGATTAGGGAAACACATTAGAAATATATAAAAAAGGATTTTTTTTTTTTTACACATTGTAATGCTATTGCATTTTTTAAATTTTTTTTATTATTTTTGTTATTTGGTTTATTTTTATTTTTATTTTATTTTATTTTATATTATATTTTTATTTTTAATTTTATTTTATATTTTATTTATTTTTATATATATATTTTTATATTTTATTTCACATATTATTTTGAGTTTTATTTTTATTTTTATTTTTATTTTTATTTCATTCATTTTTCATTTTTATTTTTCCTTTTCTTTTTCTCTCTTTTTCTTTCTATTTTTATTTTTATTTTTAATTAAAAAAATAATTTTTTTATTTTACATTTATCTTTATTTTATATTTATTTTTATTTTTATATTTATTTTAATTATATTTTTTATTTTTATTTCTTTATTTTTATTTTTATTTATATTTGTTTTTTATTTTATTTTCATTTTTTATTTATTTTATTTTTATATTTATTTTTTATTTTTATTTTCATTTTCATTTTTATTTTTATTTTTCATTTTTATTTTCATCTTATTTTATATTTTTTATTTTCATTACATTCATATTTATTTTCATTTTATACTATTATAGTATTCATTGCTCATAATATTAAAGAAAGTTTTTTGTAATAGTGAGGCATTGTTTAATACTTTGTTTGTGTTTTTCCCCACTGGGGACATGTGGTAATATACATGTCGCTTATGGGAGATAATTTAATAGTGTCAGGAATAACATGAAATAAGATTTCT